GCCAGCGTAAAAAATAATTAGAAGTTTATGCAGCTTAAAACAATACATCATGTTTCAACTAAGCAACCTACCTGAAGCTTATAACATTACAAGTTTACCACCTGAAAACTACCAAACTCTTCCCAAAAGCACAGTAAGCTCTGGGAACATGCTAAAATACTATAAAACAAAATCAAAAGCTCTCCTATCCAATTCTAACTAGAGGGTACAGATTGCATAAATCTATCAATTAGTTCTGGCCAACTTCAGAATTTACACTTCCTACAAAAAATGAGATGGAAACAAAATCTGTAATCCGACCAGTTGTGGCATTAATTGATTCAATATGGTGATGGTTTATTCATCTTTGCAGCCGACACAATCTTCAAAAGATGCTGTGATTTGAGCAGAATAAATGGAGGATTGGTGCATAGACTGTTCAATTTGTCAAACATACCAGTCAAATTGGAGGGAAATCAGTAAAAGGCTCGTAACAATATGATACAAAATAAGCAACTATCAAGAGTTAACATGTGCACAAAATGAGGTAACCAAACAAAATATTTATATAGAAGGGTGGCAACAAGCCAATTACAGCAAGGAAATAACCGTGTTGATAAAAGCTGAGTTAGAAGTGATGTCTAACCTAGTCATAATTATCGGTGGCTAAATCAATTTTCATAATCCATGGCAAATAATTGGGATAAGGCTTAGTTGAGTATATAATCCCCTCAAAAATAAGATACAATGATAGAAGGCTATGGTGAAGGAAAGAAAACGAATGTGCTCATACAGTTTATGAAGAGTTACAAGTCAAACCTCCTTAGACGTTAGCAGAAGAACATCACTCATCCTCAAGAACTTGTCAAGTGCTCTCTGTTCTTCTGGTGTTCCTGTCACTTGGGTCTTTCCTCGTGGTCCAGGATAAAAAAAATGCTGTCCCATCTTCAACAGCATAATCCAGAGTAGAAATAATCAAACAAGGGGAGAGTTTATCAAAGCCATAACCATTGTAGAACAGGAGTTTTGATTGCTTAATTGCCATCTTTACTTCAATAGATAGCTTGCTCAGCCAACTGAATGCAGGCTGTTTACAAAAATTTGCTCGACTAATAAATAAGCAGAAGGTGTGATGCACCATCTTTTGCTAACAACAATTCATTCAGTTGGCAATTGGTTTCCCTATAAAATTTATATAAATTTAAAGAAGGAATAAACCTTTAATTGATTACTTATACCTGCAAAAACCATGTCTGTGAAAAGGGTCCACCAAAACCCAGCATAGAAATGTCTCCTATGCAGCACTTGAACTGTCAACATTGTCATTCAGGTCACTCATCCCAACCATACCAATTCCTTCATCATGAACAACATCTAAGAGGAAGTGGCACATACATTTCATCACCAACATGACCAATTGCAACACAATGAAGTCCCAGTCTTGCTGATGCTATGGCCATATTGCAGTTACCACCAGCTTCCCAGTATTGCTATGAGCAATAACAAATTATGTAAGTCCTAAACTGTGGAGAATAAGGCAATAACATAGAAAAACAAACACATATATTCATCTACAAACATGTATGGACACGTGTGTGTTCATGTGTGTGTGTGAGAGAACAGTGTTCTGACTACGGGATACATGAGAACAGTGTTCTAACTACAGGATACAATAATATGCATTAATATAGGAAACATGAGAACAGTGTTCTAACTACTGGAAAAAAGAGGGGGGAAACAAATACATAATTAAATACGGTTGTGGTGTGTATGCAAGAAGGAATGGTGTGTATGCTACCAAAGTTCAGTAAGAGAGTGTCCACCATAGACATGGTTGTGGTTCTTGACAAATGTCGGTGTAAAAGCACCTGTGCATCACAAAACAACTAAATTTTCATCACAGAAATCTAGTAAGAAAAAGTTCAACATAACTTACCAAAGTTGATTGGTCATCTTCAAACAAATTTAGTGCTTTTTCATATAATTGCATATTCAGGAAAGGCTGGAAGCAACAAATATGTAAGAAACATGAAAAGAAAGTTTAGCTTTAACATACCACTATTGCTAAACTACAATGGTAAAATAATAGCTCCAAAGGGTATAACACAAAGTGGAACCAGAGGTAATCCTTAGATACAAAAGGGGAAAATGCCTAGAGGTGGAACACATTATGGTGACAAAGCCACCACTGTATTGTGCTTACCTTGTCAAGTCTCTGTTGCAAATTATCTAGTAAACATTTCATTTTCTTTGCATTTTTTGTGAATGCAACCTTACTTCTTTCTTTCCATGAATTGAGGAGCATTGGTCTCAAATGATGTGCTAAAGGAACAAGAATTGTCTCGAGATCATCTATACCTACAAAGTCACACCACCATGTCTGTCAACATCAAGCAAAAACGAAATGCCTAATCACCCAAATAATCAATAAGATAATTGTAACTAAATTCAGAGCACCTTGTTCTTCAAAGTCAGGGACTAGCGCCATGATCTTTTGTTATGTTAGTAATCATTGTTGAATCCTACAATGGAACCCAAAGTAATATACATGCATTAGTTTCAATACAAGTGGAGACCAATTGTTCCCATACCTTGTCATCTTTCTCATCTAGTTTCTTGATCTTTTGCTTCATGTGCTTTAAATCTTCACAATATTTAACATCCTGTCTTTCAAACTCCTTCAATTCATCCTTGCAACGCCCATGTCCGCTATCAAGTTCCTCGATTTGAAAACTAAAGTTAAGAAATATGTTTCACTATTGAGTTTGATCTAGTGTCAACTAGCATTAGCATGTATGGAAAGGTTTCTAAGACAAGGCATGCATATCTTAAAACCAAAAATTTACTCTTACAAAAATTTACTGCAGCCAGCTTATTGGACACCACTACATCCAGTAGAGCACTCAACGAATACATGAGAAACAAGAAAGTTTGCCATCTACAAAATACGTCGGAAAGATTATCCAAGCAGAGGCCAGTAAACCAACTGTACAGTCACGTGATACAAAATAACCAAAACCAAATCAACAGCTCCACCCAAAAACTTCCTCCAGACAATTCTAAGGCAACAACCAACTAAGCAAATCACTTTCAAAACCAAAACTAACAACCTGCCAACTGAAAAATGCCAGTGGAACACATTATGGAATCATACAATATTTAAATACATAACAAAAAGATATTTCGTCAGCCACTTTAATGCAGAAGTCCATAATTCATCTGTTATAAAAAAGAAAAAATACATTAATAAATTATCAATCAAATTTTTCAAAAACACTTAAGTGTTGAACTTAAAATGATAGTAAAAAGATACTAACTAAGAGTCAGGTAGCATGTCTGCATTAGTTGAGTTGCCCTGTAGAGCACGTTGCAATTGAAGTTGCATCTGCAAAAGTTGTTGCATCATCTGTTGCTGCGCGTCTTCAAACTTTTGTTGCACGTCTTCAAACTTTTGTTGCACGCCTTCAAACTTTTGTTGCACGCCTTCAAACTTTTTTAGCTTCTCTTTCGTTTCATCACGTTCCTTCTGAAGACTATCAACAGTTGCTTGCAACTCCTTTATCATATCAGCTTGTTCTCGATACTCAGCAGTGCATCTGAATTAATGACTAGAGGATGAAGGCTTTGGGCCATGTCCAAATCCTTTCTTATATCCAGGTCGGCTGCCAAGGACTGTGCATGCTATTTCATCCTGTGTCAATGGCTCTACACCCTCTTCTAAGTTCTGTGTGGCCAATTCTTTCATCCGCTCCTACAATTTAATATATTTAAACTCAATTATTGAGTGTATCGTAAAAATTTATTTAAAACAAAAAAAACATAATTTTCTACAATTTTAAATACTTACATTTCTTGACTTTGCCTCATTAGAAACCCACTCACCCTTCTTGTTCACATGAGAATCGTGAAAAAAATCAACAATGTGGGGTAGCTCATCAGTCGTAGGATCCCTCTGTTACAATTAATCAAAATATCAATATTCAAATTTATGAATTTTCTATATATTAAAATTTAGAAAGCAAATACTAAAGTATAACATCTTTTCATATAGGGCAGACTGAAAGGACTTTGAACCCATTGAGTAGTTGTATGGTAGTTTGGCATGATTTTCTGCATTTTTCTTAGATTTTTCCTATATACAAAGCATATAATTAGTACATAATTGGGAATAAAAGTGGATATTAATTTGCATAGCTTATAAAAATTACCTGAAATTTTGGATCATTGTAAAGTGTTTCAATTATGTACTCCCAATCCTCCTGACTCACATCACCTTATGGCTTGCTCTTTGGGTCAGCACTGGACTTAACCAAATCCTTATAGTGCATATGCATATAGTATTGATGGTCCCTGTACATCGCAGCAAATTTTTTGTCGACGGCCTTCCTAACACCAACTTTTTCACAATAGTCTCCAATGTTAAATTTTGTCTACAACAAAATATAAATGTACAAATTCATTACAACATGTTGTAACACTCTACGCAAATAAATATAATTTGAAAACCAAACAAATATATCCACTAGCCAACAAATGTGCAATGAGTAGTGCCTTCTCCTCTTCAGTTATTTGCTTCCATTTGTGGACATTTCTGATAGGGGCAAACATCCTCACTAGGGAGCCAATCTCTGTCATCACCTTCGAAGAATGTACACCCACTGGAACGCCGACTCTATCAGGAATCAAAACATCTAGCAAGCCGTGAGCTACACGAAGACGCTCAGCATTTTTCCCCCTAGACGGTCCTCGACCATGTTTCTTTGCGGTAGAAGCTGCTGCGTAAACATTAATAACAGATGTTAGCCAACCATATTAAGACAACTACATTTAAAAAATAAAATATGCATCAAACCTGCACTGCTAGCCTCAGTGCCTGCAAGAGGCTGTGATGTAGGTGGATCCGATGACACAACACTAACATGTGTACTCGAGGATGCACCCCTAGTAGGTGCATCAGAGGATGCAACCTTACTTGCTATTGTGGTGGCTCGGCGACCTGGTCCCATGTATATACAACACCTGAAATATATAAATATATAAGTTATATCGACAATATCCAACTATTAACATTATATATAAGTCATAATTTATTAATTACCATGAAAATATCTTAATAATTCACCTACATATCTGACTCTTCATCAGAATCAAAATGGGAATGTACATCATCATCTTCTTCTGAATCGACATACTCTACTTGTGACTCATCATTGTCATCACATATGAAATCATCAATGTTATTATCTTTTCTGCTTCTACAATGGACAATCCGGTCTCGAGGAATGATTTCTGGATCAAGATCAGTGCTATGAAGTTGACCTATTTCGTTATCTTTGACCACTACAGGAGCAACCTCTGTTGATTCATCCTGTTGGAATGCATCAGTTGGAACATACGATTCATTTTCACTAACTTCTATATCTTCTAACTCAGGAACATCCCATATTCCTCGATGATGTATGTGTTGCACAACTTGCCAATCCTTACCCAATTTGGTATCATTAACATAAAATACTTGTTTCACCTGATCAGGTAGGACTAAAAGGGTCATTTTGATACCATCTACTTTTCACATTAATGCTTGTAAAATGAGCATCAGTCTAAATTGTTTTCCCACTACCAAGGTTGAACCATTCACATTGGAACAAAAAAATACTATGTCCAAATATGTAACTCATCTCCCACACCTTATTTAAGTATCTGTAGAAGTTAATTGTTTTGTTATTATGTTCTCCTTCTACAACTACCCCACTGTTTCGGCTTTTTCGACGATTATCACGCTCTTTAGTGTGGAATCGAACCCCATTGCATATTGCCCCAGAGTACAATTTTATTGTCACATCAGGACCATTTGCTAGTGACCACAATTCATCAGTTGCTTCATGTGACCCTTCGCCTTGTAACTGATTCATCCACACACATGAATATGAAAGTTTTTGTGGTTTTACAACTAATGCAAATAATGCTTATAATCTAAATTTTTATAGCTTACACGTTTTGCAAACCACTTGGGAAATTCTGCTTGGTGGCGACGAGTGATGTCACCATTTCTTTCCAACTCTAATATATTTTTGTGTTCCCTACGTATAAAACCATAAATTTGACATATAAAATATTTTAAACAATTACAAAGTACAATAAGAATGCTCACAAATATGTATATTTAACGTACACATACTCTAGATACAGATCCAGTTCGAAACTATTATGTAGGACAAACCAATGAGCCATCTCTCGTTCCTGTTGAGAGACCTCATTTGCTCTTGTAATTCACCCAAAAGGACAAATATTTTGGGTGAACACAGCTAACCCATGCACATTTTCAACTCGATCTGCATTTCGTTCCTCGCGATTAAAAACTGTTTCGATACCAGTAAGATACATCGAGCAAAAGGTAAGAATTTCTTTGACAATATAGGCCTCTGCAATTGAACCTTCTGGACGAGCTTGATTATGAACATATCCTTTTAAAGTTCCGAGATACCAAAACATATAAGGAGATAATAACAAAATCAAATGAGAAGCTAATAACAATTTAAAATATCACCTTTCCACTGGGTACATCCATCGATACTGCACTAGTCCAACAATCTTAGCTTCCCTTGGCAAGTGAACTGCTAAATGCACCATAACATCGAAGAATGCTAGTACAAATATCTTTTCTAACTTACAAAGAATAAGTATTATGTTATCTTGTAGTGCATCCAAGTCTTTTACCATCAATGTCTTTGCACAAAGTTGTTGAAAAAAAATTCCCAACTCAAATAAAGTGGTACAAATTTCCTTGTCCAAGTAACCACGAATTCCAAGTGGAATAAGTCATTGCAGAAGAACATGACAATCATGGCTTTTCAGGCCTGATACCTTACCATCCTTCGTGCTCACAGAACTCGATATATTTGCTGCATATCCATCTGGTTACTTAACTGATTTCAAAATTTCACAGAACCCTTGTCTTTCTTTTGGAGATAAAGTGTACCATGCAACCGGTTGTACATATGCCTCCCCATTCTTTTGGAGGTGCAATTCTTTTCTGATATTTAGGTCCTCCAAATCTAGACGAGCTTTATCTGTGTTCTTATTCCTGCCATCAATACTCAACAACGTGCCAAGCAAACTATCATATATATTCTTCTCTATGTGCATGATATCAAGGCTATGTCGAATCTTAAACACATGCCAGTACGGTAACTCAAAAAAATGCTCTTCTTTGTCTAATTAATTTCCTCAGATGACTGCTTTCTTTTTTGATTTTTTGGATGCTTCCCGAATTGCACATTTGGTAAACACTCCAACTGATCTAAAATCTTTTGCCCCGATAACTCACAAGGTTTTGATTTTTTCTCAATCTTACCATTAAATAACTTACTTCGTCGCCAGCTGTGATCTTTGCGGCAAGTAACGCCGATGGCCTATGTAGCCAATTTTGCTTCTTAATGGCTGTGATAATGATCAAAATTACAAATGGGGCATGCCTTGTAACCTTTT